TAGCCATCAATATGCCAACTTTGGACAATGTTCTCATTGTTTTGGAAAACAATTTCAACAAACGCTCTGTAGTCTGCACCCATCACAGATGTGTCGAGGTACATTCCTCCACCGGTAGGGCGATCGGAGATACTTCCGACGCGAAAAACCCCTCCTATTTTGAAGAAGTCGGCAAGTTTCAGGGGAGTGTCAGCAGGGATGAAGGAGACTCTGTTAACCGCATATCTTTGTTTGCTGTTGATTAGGCCAGCAGAACTTTCAAGTATGATGGTTCTGCTTGTGTTTACCAGACCATAGTGATATGAACCTTGTGGGTTTGGCCTTGGTCCACTGGCTGTAAGGTTGGTCCTGCAACAAACACAAAAAGGCCATAATCAAAACTCACAGACTAACCATTTGGTCTGGTTATTGAACGTTGACTCAAGTTGAAAAGGATGGTGAATTGAAAGTATCACCTAATGGAGCGAGCTTGGTTGAGAGACCAGCCGACTTCTATGGTTGGAGCTCCAGGAAGGGGGCCTTTGACAGGGCCAGTAGAGTTACTGTAACGAAGAGTGCCGGTGGTGGTGAGCACTGGGTTGGTGAAGCGAGAAGAGACGACAATGTAGTAGTCTTGAGCTGGCTGGTCGGCCGTGACAAGCACGGAGTAAGACTGACCGACATGAATGTCGAGCGAGGAGTATGTGGTTTGAAGGGTATGTGTTCCCTCCACTTCTACAAGCTTCATTTGATGTCCTTGAATTCGGAAGTTGAGGGAATGCTGCAGCCCCACATTTGAAATTCTCAACCTGTAAGTTTTTCCTGCAACAGCATAGACATGAATGATCATCTCAGTTCCATTGGATAGCCATTGGCCTTGGGATAACGAATCAAATTAGACCCAGGAATATATACCTTGTTCAACGATGAAGGAGGTGCGATTGGCACCGCCATTGATAAGGATTCCATCAGGAAATGGAAGCTTTTTACCAAGATCCAAACGAGCCTTCAAGGTCTATGCGCCAAATTTCAAAGCTCAAATTAAAAAAAAAAAAAAAAAAAAAAAAAAAAAAAAAAAAAAAAAAAAAAAAAAAAAAAAAAAGAAGCAGCAAAGATAATGAATACCGTGTGATTGGAGCTGTACCAGTCTCCGACGAGAAGGGTGTAGTCACCGGCGGGATCAGGGAAGGGGACGGGGATGAGGGGGCGGCTGAGGATTCTGATGGCGCCGAAACCACCGGCGGCCTTGTGGAAGGCGAGAGAGGGGAAATAGTAAAAGCTTCCAATCTGATCCTTGACTTGGAGAATGTAGGTGAAGTTCTTTCCGGGAGGGATGGGGCAGGTTGTTCCATAAACACCGTCTTCGTATGAGTTCTTTCTCTGTTGAACTCCGTTCCTGCGTTGCAGAGTTGGAGTTGGGGGACATGAAAACAGGGTTAAAAGTAAAATAAAAACAAGTGAAATGGAGAGTAGAAATAATGACCAGGAAATGAGGAAGGGTTCATCTAAGCTGTTGAAGACATTGATAATAAGGTTGTCGTTAGTGACGCAGTAGATATCAGGGCCGGGGAATTGACCATTGATCAGTATGCCCTGCAGAAGAAGAACAGATGACGGGCGGCATTAACGAGGAGATCAAAGAGAGTAGGAAAAGGGAGAAGAAAGAAGGAACCTGCTGGCGGAGGCCGAGAGGGTAAATGTCGCCGTAGGAGACATTCCAGGTGAAGAAACGGTAAGGATTTTCTGCAGAGACGGCGGCGAAGAAGCAGAGGAATGCAGAGAGGGCCAAGGCCGGTGAAGTCAGAAGCAGCATATTGGAGTAGTGGGAAGAAGAAGAAGAGGAAGAAGAAGACGAAGACGAAGACGAAGGGTTGAGATTGAAGGGGAGAAGAGAGAGAGTATTTAAAGAGTGAAAACTGTGGGTTTAGCCCACCCGGAAAAGGAGGAATAAATCAAAATATGAACAGGGAGGGAAATCCACGTGGCAACGCGAGAATGGAAACCACTGTGGGGGCATAAAAGTCAATACAATAGAATAGTATTTTTGTTATTATTGTAAAAAAAAAAAAAAAAAGAAGAGAGCAGAAGAAAAGTGTGGAATGTCGGTGGTGGGGTCCCACATTTCACATTAACATGTACACTAATAAATTTTGTATGTATTGCCTCTCAACGCGGAGAGACAATGATTTTCCTAAGAATTCTCCTATCTGTAATACTCTATAATAAATTTAAATAATATGTACAAATATTTAAAAAATTACAGCAACCTTGGCTGATTAAGGAAAGAAGACATTCGAAACCCATTAATATTTTTGCCAGAAGGGTTTGCAAGGGATAAAGAGGGTGGAAGGAAGCTCGGGCGTGTCAAACAAGAAAGAGACTCTAGTGGTCGAGTGGTCAAATAGTGGTCAAAGCCAAAGGTGTTTCGAGTGAGTGAACTCATACCAAACTTCAGTTCAATTCTACAGATTCATTAATAAAATAGATTAGGAAAGATACCGATTTGACAATTAAGTAATACAAAACTCTTAAATAAATTTTGAAACATGTTAACCATGTGATTAGAAATTTAGTATAATAAGAATATTGTGATTTTAATTATAGTACTCATGAATACATGTTTAAGACGTGGGTCCGTTAGCAATTCAATATTAGTATTAATATGTATGATGTATGTCTTATATTATAAGATGTGTACAAGTTATTCTTAGTTTACTAATTCTCATCGAACCCCAATTGACGCATTGTTAGTATTTGGGACCATTAAACTGTGTGCTATTTCATGTCGAAAATTTTAGTAAATGGGTTATATTTGATCGAAAGCGATGAAACATAATTAACCGATAAAATTGTTGGCTAGAATATCTTTCTATGATAGAAGGACCCTAGCATATGAGCCCAGGAGCCAAGGTAACGAGGGAGGAGGCAAAACGAATAGGACAAATCTCTTTGCCTCCCTCTCGATTTTGAGCTTTTGAGCTCGTTCTAAACATTTAGATAGCGGTAATTGAAAATCTTGAACAAAATAGAGTTAGCAAATAATATTAAGAAGAAAAAAAAAAAAAAAGTATATTACAAAGCTAAGGAATCTATAATGAAAGCAAAAGTAGAATGAAAAGAAAAAAAAGAAAGGAAGAAAAATAAAGTTGAGAAAGGCAAGGCATTGATGGAATTCCGCCCTCAAATCTGCAAACACCTTCTTATTTGTCCTGCTCTCAATTGCCTTGCAAACGTCGTTTGATATCATTTGATAATATCGCTAAATATTCCTACAAAATTCCAATCAAATCAAAGTTTTTAAATAAAGAGAATTAAATGGAAATAATTAATAATTAATAATTAATAATTAATAATAATAAAAGACTGACCTCCGCAAGTGCGTCATGGCTGCACAACTCATCTGCAATATCTTCATTGTTGCAGCCAGAAACCTGAGCCGAACTCTCAACCACAGCGCGAAACACATCCATAGGAGAATTGGTAGATGTAATCCTTTGAGCAAGATCTTTATGGTCAATCTAAACACCATATGTTACGTTAACACATATTTTGAAAGTTAATTACATATTTGAATCTCAAACTACCGTGGATTGTTCCAAATGGAGCGTCAAGATTGAACTGCCGAGATCGAGAAGAAGCGCGCCGAACTGCTGCATCCTAAGTCCTACTTGCACCAACTCTTCCTGTATTTGACCCCTCACCATTGGATCAGTGGAGGAACCGTCTTGCTCGAAACGCTCAGCAATGCGCTACATGTTATTGCATATTCTATCAAAAGAAGCCAGGATTGAATAAAAAACTGGAGTGTCCGAATATAATACTCACCGGAAGTGAATGTATTGCATAGTCACTTAGGAGGTGTTGTGCATTTCGCAAAACAATACTCAAAGATTTAGGAGTCTGCAGATCTTGGGGATTGGTGGGGAGTTCGAACCTTGGTAGAACTCCTACGTTGAAAGAAAATGTAAAAAGATTAATGGGAATAAAATCAAGTAATGAAGGATACAGGGGTTTAAGATTTACCACCATTTTGAGAAACATTTTGAGAGATTGCTCGCTCGAAACGGTTCATGAACGCGGAGGAGTTGTTGAAGGATGGAGAAGAAAAGGGGAAAGAAAGAGAAGAAATGAGAATTAGGGCATGAAAAGAGAGGAACACAGAGGTATGATACTTAGAGGATGGGCGTTCATCCTAAGGGACCTGTCCCCGGAAAAGCAAAGGGGATCCTATTTGGTTTGTAATGAAAGCGCAGGAAGAGGGGCAACAAAATTGAGAGGCCAAGAAAAATGGAAGGCTTACATTTTTGTTTTTTTTTTAATCTTCAAAGTCAATGAATTCTCCGAGTAAAACGCATCGGATCGGAGTTGCAGTCTCCACGTCGTATTTTACGGGAGGAAGTATTGGCTCCACCATAACCCTAATAATCCAATTGCGTGCTGCCACGTCCTAAATGTACGGAAATACACTTTTCCCCCTGTTTTTAAACGGAATTATTATACTTTTTCTTATTCCAACAAAAAAACATTATGATCCCACACTCAAAATTACTTTCTATTGGTATTACACTTACAAATTTAGAGTTTTTGTTTTAATTCCTCCCACATTCATAGTGATATTGCTTACTAATATCATATCTAATTAATTAATTTTGACCTTGAATTAATGCTTTCTACGAGGGGTGAATTCTAAATTATTAATTAATTTTGACCATGAATCATTGCTTTTTACGAGGGTAAATTAATTAAATAAGTTTTCAATGGATTCAAAATGTCTCCACATTCATAGTGAGCGCACTCACTCTCGCTGTGTACATGAAATGACACCCTAGTTAGATCAAGACTCCTTACCACTCGCACCAAGTTTAGTCTTATTTAATTTGACATAGAAAAATTAATTATTTGGATTCTAGAAGTTGGAATCAAGTTCTACTAATTCCATAAGTTGAAAAGTTGACCTATCTCCTGTACTGAACTTTTGCACTTCGATATCTATATGTCAACATCTAAAGAAAAGAGTAGCATCGATGAAACAATTATGAATTTCATAATAATCTTAAAACAAAAGAGAAAAAAAAAAAAAGTATTTTACAACCTATAGGCTCTACGATTCAGGCCAAAACACCATATAAAAAGAGACTGTAACATAACTTATACCACCAGAAAAATAACTTGAGAAATCTAATAATGTCCAAATTCACCAGTGCCAATGTCCAACTTCCCTCCTCAGATTTTATTTTTCCTGATCTGAATTGTCTTGTAGCCGTCGGTTTACATCACTTGATAATATCTCTACATATTCCTACAAAAATCCACAGGGATCCCATGAAAACTCAACGTCACACCATTTAATGGGAACTGAAAAGAAGAGCAAACACTACGTAACAATAATATTTCACCTTAGCAAGTCTCTCATCACCGCACAACTCATTTGCAATATCTTCGCTACTACTGCCAGAAAGCCGAGCTGAACTCTCAACTACAGCTCGGAAGACATCCCTCGGAGAATTGGTAGACGTGATCCTTCGAGCAAGATCTTGGGAATCGATCTAAAAACACAATAGTTAGTTACGCTGTAAGACAAATAATTTTATCCTTTATTGTGGTGATAAGTCAGGAGGAAGATTCAAATGGTTAACAAGTGTAATGGACCATGAACCTCCAACTTAGATCCGAGTATGAAAATTTTCAACTTATTGGGTAATATGCTCTCCACAAGCTAACATAGTACTTCAACAAGTCACAGAATTTGTATCAGACGGGTTAGACAATTTACAAAATTATACATGGGAAGATAATACGAAGGACATGAATTAAACAAACCTGAAAATTTTGGTCGTTGGATATTTCTACTCCACTACCAGACCTTGGCTCTATATCAGCATTTGGAAACAGTGGTTGCCTTGTCTCTCGTTCGATATTTGAGGAAGACAGTTGCCCTGGCCCTGCTCCCCCAAGCACTTGAGAGACAATAGGCATCATCTGTTGGAGCATGCTGGACAAATCGATGCCACCACCTTGGCCTCTTCCTGACCCAGCAAACATGTGCTCGAGATCTTGAGGGTCAACCTGCTGAGCAATTTGATTGACTGTGTTTGTCATCTGAGGGCTCTGCGTCAGCTGTTGCAACATGTTCCTCAATACATCAGGAGAACCAACGCCAGTTTGCTCTGAAAGCCCAGTCAATAATCCATTCAAAGCAGGACTCTGCAAAACTTGGTTCATACTGCTTCCAATATCAATTTGATTATCAGAACCTGGCCCATGCAAGGATCTGCTATCCAGAGTTGGGCTAGCAGTCGAGGGCTCATGAGCATTTGACCTATTCATAGAAGCACTAGAGGCAAGAGATTGTAAAAGCTGCTGGCCCGTAGAGCCTTGGCTGTAGCTGGTTCCACTGTTACCCTCCTTAACCTGTGACCTTTGCTGCCTTCCTCGCCTCTAGTCAGCCGATACAAAGAGGAGGAAAGAAAGAGGAAATAATTAAGAAAGAAAGAAAGAAAACCAAAGAGAATTGTGAATTAATATCCAGTACAAACATGAAATTATCCCTTAGATATGGAGTCTCATCTCAATATCATTGATGCCCTATCACGCTTATACTTGTGTCTCATCATTTACTAAAACAATTAAAGCACAAGTCCTAAGTGCTACCCATCAACAATAGGCAAAAACGTGTATAGTTCAACAATAGGACACCAAAAAAGTAATCTGATATCAAATTTTGAAAAATAAATAGCTTAATCTTACTGGTCGTTCTAAGCCTCCCAGTCCAAGTCCAAGTGGAACAGCTTGAGAAGACCCGGCTCCTGAGCTCTTCTCATATGCTGCCTGACTCTGAAAATTTTCTTCATTTCCTCCAACAAATTCAGAGCCCCCACCACTAGAGCATGTTGGTAAATCTGTTGAGTTAGCTTTTCCTGTATCTCGCTGTGGTTGGTTACAACTATATTAGCATTTAATCTATAATACAAGGACAAGCTTAAAAAAATACTGGGGAGAGTGAGGAGGAAAAACATTGTACCAAATATCTACCTTGTCACTTCCAATATCAGGGTTACGCAGATCACTCGACTCTCCACCCACATCCCTTTTCATATCACTTTGCTGTTCACTCCTTGCTCTAGAACCAAAAGAAGAATTTTGAACTGCCGTTTGCACTTGACCTGAATACAAGATGTTCAGTAGAAATGAAAAAAAAATGCAATGTACTCATGTGATTAAATAAATGATTTACCTGATTCAGTAATGCTACCATCTCCAACATTACCAACTAAATCTCTAATTTGTAAATTGACATCAGCAATAATGGAAGATAATGAAACAAAGTCAGGAGTTGGCTGGGAAAACGAAATACCTTCACCAGGTTGCACAGCAGCAGAAATCGAAACGCCCAACGGATATGGAATAGCAGTCTCAGTAACACTACTCACAGGAGGTGCCTGTGCTCCACCTGAATTGGTCGAGCCACCAACATTCCGACGCTCTGCAGGTGCTCCCTCCTCCCCATTATTGGACCTGGTACCGACTGCGGAAAGGGTGGCAGAACTCAGAGAAAGCACATGATATGAAGAAAACACACATCAAAACACTTCAATCTTCACCAGCATGTATGTGAATGTTGATGTGCCTAGGGGGAGCTCCAATTCCAACTGCACCAACAGCCACTGGGTTTGATGGTAGTAAAGCACCTCCCAGGACGGGATTAGTTTGAAGGGGAAAAGGCTGCAAAAGAAGATGTGAATTGTGAGAAAAACTCACAAAAGCATAGAACCTGATGCTGTAAATAAGTGGGATGACTAAACAATATCTATACTACAAACAGTATCTATGACCAAACAATTACATATTTTTGGATAAGTATAGATTTTATTAAAAATCATATAAAAAAAATCTTCAATCTCTTTAGATAAAAACGTTGTCTAAGCTGAATAAAATTCCTTATAAGTTCATTTTAAAAAGGTTATTGAAATGATTTACTTTTTAATTTACTGAAGTAATGTGTAGTTTTGAAGTATTTGATATTATTAATACATTGTGAAATTTATAACTTTACGATATGTATTTTCGTATTCAAAATTGAATAATTGTAAAAATCTAAATTTATAAAAGAAATCATTAATGGAACTATACAGCTTCTTACCATTTAAAATCAATAAATCAAATGCTAATTAGTTATAGTTGAGGTAAATTGAATTTTATATTTAAAAACCATTCCTGTCATTAAAAAAGTGATGAGGGGGCAGCTTGATTATGGTAGTCATGACAAATCTCATTCCTATAAGCTATTTTTCTTATAATAAAACTAATTTAATAATAAACTAATTCAACAGAAAATCTCAGAAATTTTGTTATCAATCTCATGATAGTTACAATATACGTTTCACATATTTAACGAAAGCAAAATAAAACAAATCCATTCAGCCAGGGAAGCACTTGGAACACAACGGACACCTCAAACTTACCAAAGACAAATCAGGAAAAGATAGAAAAAGAACAGGAATCAACTATGCTAGAGTAGTTTCCCAATGCACATAACATAACGAACTTAGTACATTGCATATCTCAATCATTTTTTAAATTAATTAGAAAAACAACCGAAGATGTCTAACCTGAACCATTAGGGGATTTGGCCCCATAGGAGAGATATAAACTGCTGGGCCAGCATTAACAACCGACTCAGCCTGCAAAAAACCAAACAGAAACATTAGTACATTTTTAAATCACTAGTTTGAATTTCACTCACTGAATAAATAACGACTTACAGGTGACTGTCCCACACGGAATGTCAACATTGTACGGCCAAGTTCCAGAAGAAGCGCTCCAAATTGTTGTGTCCGAAGTCCTACTTCTACCGACTCTTCCTGAATTTGAGCTCTCACAATGGGATCAGTGGAAGAGCTATCTTGCTCCAAACGCCCAGCAATACTCTAAACATTGACATAGATGCATGAGAATAGATTCATGTGATGATTATAAAGCATAGTTCAGATGAACATAAAGAAAAAGACGTCAATCATGAAATGCCAAGAAACTTAATGTTCAATAACTAATTAAAAAGAAAAAAGAAAAGGCTTGTTTTCCACGCAGCAGCTAGCAAAAATCCACAATCACTCTCATTCTAAAAGAAAGAACACCCAAGAAGATGCAGAGAAAACTGATAGAGATCCAACACCATAGCCAATGCTATGTTTTAACAGAGCATAAAACCTAGAGTCATGGTTTTGTATCAAAAGAATTTGTTCCATCTTTTGTTCATCTGGATTATCAATGAAGTTCTAATACCTCAATTATGGAAAGAAAGGCCATCCACTACCAAATAGTTTGAACACACGATACAGGAAACCATATGGGATGCTGAACACCGCTCTGGTAAGACAGGCAGAAGACATGCATTGAGTTTTCAGATTTGACCCTATGACTTACTTGGCTATGAATCCAATGGAACTCCTCATCCCCACTCCATTCTAAATTTTTATTTAATTCCATAAATTCGTTCAACATTCAGATTTTAGCGTTTCCTGGCTAGCGTGACAAGAAGTTCTTTTACTTCAATTGAGAATACTTATAGACCAAGACCTGACTCAAACAAAAGGTTTTTTGATACTTAGAAATCAATCCAAACAGACCCTTACTACCACTGCAACCCTTTCTTTAATAGGTTATTAGTTACTAATTAACAAAAGGATATAAAATATAATATTGATCGACATTGTAAATGTACATATGAACAAAACCCTTCTGTGTAAAACTAAAATTATTGACCTAACCCACATAGCTAGATTTATCTTTCGCAAAATTCATAACATTACTCACCAAAACCAGCAAGGCTATACAGTTATATCCTTGTTGACAGATCAACAATTCATTGTCCACATGTACACTCTTATGTCATCACAACTTCCAGCAGCTATTAATTTTAAGTAATGTAACTAGATACAGCACTCACAGATAGTGAAACTGTGGCATAATCACGTAGAAGCCGTTGAGCATGGCGCAAGATAATGCTCAAAGATTCAGTGGTTGGTAAACCTTGGGGATTGGCAGGCAGTTCCACCCTGGGTAGATCTCCTGTATTATCATAAAATGTAAAAATAATAATAATAATCAACCCAAAAAGTTAGCGTAACATAAATTAGAGATGAAGTTTTTCAAATTAAGCATTTGTTTTTAGCACCAAATCAATGATCGTGTTTTTTAGAGCTTACCAACATTCTGAGATATTGCATATTCCATACGGTTCATGAACTCAGAAAGTGTTGTCAAAGAATGAGGAATGGGCTAAAAGCAAAAGGTAAACAAGTAGTCAATAGGAGAGCCAAGAAACCAAACCTATCAAGCAATATATAACAATTTGGCATGGACAGAGAAAAGATACGCTACTGCATGAATAGAAGGCACTGGTACGGCAGCACTGGCAAGTGGAATTTGAATCACGTGAGGAGAACTTTGTGATTGCTGGCTGGCCTGTCCAGTTTGTGACTGACTCGTTGCTTGTCCGCCATCCCCAAAATTACCTCTAAATGTTTCATTCCCTTGACTTGGTGCGCCATGATTGTTTGGCTATACAAGTATAACCAAATCAACAACCGTCAGAATTTTATAAGTATCCAGAAAAGAATAAGAAACTGAAAATTTATGCACTTTAGGTGAAATACGATAAAAATACAATTATTAAATCAAAGTGTTGTGAGAATCAACACATAGTACAGTATTGAAACAAGTTCTGCTTCAACTAGAATGTATGGAAGAAGAAAAGGAAGAAAATAAAAGGCAATCCAACTTATGTGAACTTTTACTGGGAGATATGCACCATTGACTTTTTTAGTTAGGATTAGGAAACAATAAGAGCTTACATTATATCAAGCAAAAAACAAGAGTGATGAGAAATCAACTCAAAGCTGGATAAAGCAATCCTCCTATTGGCTTTAATAATAATAATGATCATATTAACATCTTTAAAAAGATCAAGCAAAAAAAAAATACAAATAAGCCTTGTGCGAGCTCAGAAAGGAGGCGAAAAAACTAAGGATTTGTTTGGTTGGTAGTTCGAAAACATAATTTTGAAACAACAGGTTCAATGACAAACAAAGTTGTACTTCGTTATTTGAATACTTTGAATGTGTGATGTCCCACATTGGTTGAGGAGGAGAACAAACCACCATATATAAGGGTATGGAAACCTTCCCCTAACAGACGCGTTTTTAAAGCCTTGAGGAGAAGCCCAAAAGGGAAAGCCCAAAGAGGACAATATTTGCTAGCGGTGGATCTGGGCTATTACAAATGGTATCAAAGCCAGACACTGGACGATGTGTCAGCCTTCTCGCTGTTCCCCAAAGGGGGGTAGACACGAGGCGGTATGCCAGTAAGGACACAGGGCCCCAAAGGAGGTGGATTTAGGGGTGGTCCCACATCGATTGGAGGAAGGAAAGAGTGCCAGCGAGGACGCTGGGTCCCAAAGGGGGTGGATTGTGATGTCCCACATTGGTTGGGGAGGAGAACAAACTACCATTTATAAGGGTGTGGAAACCTTCCCCTAGCAGACACGTTTTAAAGCCTTGAGGGGAAGCCCGAAAGGGAAAGCCCAAAGAGGACAATATCTGCTAGCGGTGGATCTAGGCCGTTACAGAATGTGTTTAGTAACAAACCATATCTCAATTTAGAAAGTTGTTCAGAATAAGTGAATAACAAAAAACAAAGTATGAATTGCATACCAAACAGACCCTAAAATATCCCATACTTCCCAACATTTCTTGATTTAACATTGAAATATACACCATTTATCATTTAGAGAAAAAGAAGACTTCCTCACTTACCAATGAAGACTGCATACCAATTGGGATGTTTGTATTTTGGCTGCTTAGTCCAATAGAATTCAGAACTGCCCCAATAACCTAGAATATGGGGAGGAACAAGAAAAAAGTGTTTCATTGGCTACTGCCTTACTGGGCAATATGAAATTCACGAATGTACATCATACAACTAATAACTTGGGAATGGGGAATATATTATATGTGATAAGAGTCCATGATAAGCATAATTATAATAATAATATCAATAAACAAATAAATTGAAGGATTAAAGGATAAAAGAACATTAAACTGTATACCCGAGAAAGATCAGGAACAATGCCTTCACCTTGTTCACCAACGTTAAATGTTCCTAAAACCACACTATGTGCAATTTGTCCTACACGATTACGAGGGGCACTAGCTCCAGCTTCGTTACCGACTGATGAAGGTACTGAGCAGCAAATAAAAGGAAACTTAAGAAAATGTACAATACCTCATATGTTTATAAATTCTCAACCCTAGTATTCTAATTGCCATACCATTTGCAGGTCTGTCGCCTGCGCCAGCATCGGATGCTGCATGTTGCACCGTTGGTAGTCTTTCAACTAAATGTAAGGTATGTCCATTTTCCAAATCTTAAAGAGTTAAGAAACTACAGTCCAAATCCAAATCTATGAACAAGTGCACTTAATTGCATAAAGGGAAAGCCTCGGACAGCAAAAACTAAGAAACAAATTTGGCAAGGCTGCAAATCCAAAAAGAATTGGAGTACATTACTATGTTAAGGGCTGTTATATGAACAAACTAAATAAAGTATCGATCACAACTCTAGTCAAATAAAAACAGTTATGAAATGTCATAATTTCATCTAATATTACCAGAGTAAAGAAGAAGCTCCCATCCGCACTATCAACTCCTATGCTATTAAAGCTTTTAAGATTGCCAAATTATATAGATAAATTATCTTGTCCTGTCAATATGCATATCAATAATTACCATATAAAAGAGACTTCCCAATTAATTTGAGATCGAATATGAATGTCAGGAAGCAAGTGAACATGCACGAAAGATGTGACATAATAGTTTGCAACTCAGAAAACGAGGACTAGTGATGGAAGAAAAGAAGAAAACTACGAAATATGTTAAAATAAAACAAATGTTAAATGCAGAAATTGATAGGATACGATAGTCAGAAAGAGCATGTTCATCCTTTAAGACCCTTCCTCTGAATATCAAACGTTGCTGATTCACTGGGATTCCTATTTCACTTGCAATTTTCTCCTTGAATAGTTGAACCGGCATCTAATAGATTGACAAGCAACGAGAATAGGTAATGAATGTGCACGAAGAGGAAACAGACTTGAACAATAACTATTATTTACAAAAGAAAAAAGTAAACAAAAATCCCAAAATGATTTTTTTTTTTCTTTTTTTCTTTTCATTTTTCCCTCTTCAAAAACGACTAATTCTCCAAGTAAAACATTTAATGATGCCTAAGAAAAGTAATTTTCTTTCTAGACAAATTTATTTCTTACATCTTTGTTCACTTGAAAGCTGTAGTTATGTGAATCTAAAGTCTTGATGTTCAGCTCAATATTTGAAGCTGCAGTACTGCTGGTGCTGGAACCTTCATTTGCCTGGTCCGCCATGCTATTCAATTAACTGCAGCTACCGTCTAAACAAAAAGGCGCATTCAGAAACAAAACCCCAGCATGCCTTGCCTCGTCTCCATGAATGACGATCATAAGAGAGGTATAAGACAACAACTAACAAGTCAAACCAGATATATATTTATCGTGGGATAACAGATTGGAGCGGAGAGGCCGCACCAACTTATACGCCGGTATCACATATGGATAAAATGACAACAAGATTTCGCAAGAAAAGATGACTGGTTAGTTATCATGATTCGATCACAAACCTATTCTAGACTTATAATGTGAGACCTCTATTCGCGACAATAAGATATTAAGATCTAAATTAACGCCCTCAATCTACCCAAACAGCTAGTCAAATTAAAATGTATGAGTACAGTTCTAGGGGAAGAAGTTGTCGTATTCACTTAAGTTCCATTGGAAAATGATGATGAAGAAAATGCAACAGCTTGGCAATATAACAGAAAACAGGAAGAATCATCCAGCAAAATACAGATGGCAGAAGAAAGGTGCAGACCCAATTAGGAAGGAAACAATCACCCAAACAACGAAAAGAAAACTCGATCATCCCGATGAAAACGAATTCAATAAACAGAATACATCATCCGCATAGGGTTATAGGAAGCTACAATGGAAAACGTACCTCTTCGAACGAGAAACGATACAAGCAATGGAAACAAGAACCGGCAACGACGGATGTGAATGTCGTCGAGAATCACAATAGACCACCGGCGAAATCTTTTCTTGTCAGAGTTCGATACAACCCAATCGCAGAACTGCAGTTTTTTACCGAAGACGATGTAGAGGCGGGGCAGAATAGCGGAGGTTAATGATGAAAATGCATTCCAGAACGATCTGGACTCTCGGACGGCGAATGGGCTTTATCTCGAGAGAAGGGAGAAGTAAGAACGAACCCGGAGCTGAGAGAAAGGACGTCAAAACAGCGCGTTTGATTGCGCGCGTAGATAAATTGTTTTCTGGATGCGGCCCGTTCGTAATTAAAATTATGAAGCGATGCTTTGGCTATGCCGGGCTCAAGATTAGCTGTTATGGTTTGCTTAGGCCCATGAAGCCCAATCTATTTGCCATGTCGGCCCAAATGCCTTGCTTCATACTATCCACTTAGATTCTTTTAATTACAAGTAATTAAGCTTCTGTAAATTTATTTGTTTTTATCTATTTTTTTATAAAATGAAAAAATTATGATAAACAAGCTTTAAAAGTTCAATTATCCAAATATAATTTTATTATATCAATATTTCTTATTTAAGTAATGCTAAATAAAATATTTGATTTTAAATGAGATAAAGAGATGTTTTAGCTATACTGAATAATAATGAGATAAAGAGAAAAGTAAAATTTAGAAATCAAGATTTATTGAAAGAAAAAAAAAAAAAAGTAAATGCAGCCGACAGACAGAATATCAAAACGACAGCGTCCCAATCAGCATTATAACCCTTTGCCTGGCATATGCGAGTCAGTAGAAGCAACTCCGCTCGATGAAATCAAATCAGAATCTCGCGGTATCATCAACGGTCCAGATGATTCAGAGTCTAGAGGTTGCAAGCTTTATGAGATCCTTTCTCAAAATCTTACCGGACGGATTTTTGGGAATGGAATCCACGAAAGCCACCCGTCGGATTCTCTTGTACGGCGCCACCTGTACAAACACACGTGGACCCCTGTCTCAGCTTATGATTATAGAGTTGAGGAGATAAAATAATAATAATAATAATAATAATAATTAACCATTTTTAAAATAATAATAATAATAATCACAGCCTTCCTATTCTACAATAATAAGAAACTTTATTTCTACTAATTAAACAAACTTAATTAATTAGATTATAAATTTTGTTAATTTAGACCAAATATTATTAAAATAGTATGAAATTTATTTATAACTGATATTAAATATTGACCTGTTTTGCCACGAATTGCATTACATCTTCATGTGAAATGTCACTTCCACCCTTTCTTACCACGTAAGCCATTGGATACTGCCCAACCTCCTTGTCTGGAAAACTGGAATTATTAAAGGAAAAAGAAAATTACTCATTAAAAATCATATACTTCAAATTAAAAGGGCAATATTGTGATACCATTTAATATAATAAAGTATATAATAAAGGCACTAGTAATCCTTGGAATAAATCGTTTATAATGAAATATTTATCAAAAATATTAAATTCAAAGCCTAATTGTGTTGTGTTGTTGATTAAGACAGGGTGAGTAAATAAAGATAAAGTGTGGGGATATAAATGTAATTTGGGCACAACTTGTTTCTTTTTAGACAGCGAATGAAAACCATGGATGGCAATCGCAGCCTGGTGGCCCACTGCCTTTTGAAGGATAATTTTGTTTATTTAATAGTAAAAGGAGGGTTTTATCTATTCTAATGGTTTGAGATATTTTCATATTCATCACGTGATCAACATAAAAAATATCATATTAAAAAAATGAATTTTGAGAGCTTACGGAATCACAGCTGCATCAGAGATATTAGGATGTGCAAGTAACAACGCCTCTAATTCTGCTGGAGGCACCTAAACATCAATATTAAATAAACAAATAAACACACTTTCAATTAATAATTTTAATGCAAATCCATAATTTTCATGATGAGAGATTTGTTTGTTGACGTTTTTACCCTCCACTTTTCCAAAAATGTCAAATCAATATAAATTAACTTAGAAAGAAGATCCATGTAAAATTACCTGATAACCCTTGTATTTGATGAGTTCTTTGAGCCTATCAACCACAAAAATAAAACCATCTTCATCGATGTAACACAGATCGCCTGTTCTCAACCATCCCATCGAGTCGAGCGTTGAGGCTGTGGCCTCCACATTACCAAAATACCCTGCGACAATCGATGTAAAATATATATACTGTTTAGTAAAATTTATTTTATCAAATTGAAGGAATAAAGTGGGAAAACTTGTGGAATTAATGAATACTATACCACTGGTTAAATAATTAAATACTATAAATTTGTTGATATTTAATAAAAAAAAATAAAAAATATGGTTTGTGAATTAAATTTATAAATTATATATATTTGAGGGTGCATCGCACTATTGTTAAAATAACAGATTAATTTAAAAAAAGCATATGATCCTGAATTATTTTTTAAAAAGAAACACGGTATTCTTAAAAAATATTTATATATAAGATGAAATCATTGTCTTAAGGATTATTCTTAAAATTAAGGAAACTAATTAAAGCTGATATTCTTTGACTCAACCCCATGTCGCCATTGACCAAATTCTTACCTTTCATAACGGTGGGTCCTCTGAGCCAAAGCTCTCCGGTCCGGTTCACGGGCAGAGCCTCGCCAGTTTCCGGGTCAACAATCATTGCCTCGGTGCTCGGAGACAAAAGCCCCGCCGTGCCATACCGGCGGCTCTCCTCCAGAGAATCAGTGGAAGCTCCTATTCCGGTGGACTCCGTCAACCCATACCCCTGAAGAATCGCAACGTTCGGATATTTCTCAACAAAACCCTCAATGACCTCCTTCCCCAGCGGCGCTCCGCCGGACAACGCCGTGTGCAAGGAGCTCAAATCGTACTTGCCCTTTATCTGCTCGGCGGCGTTCACTAGCGCCACTAGAATCGGGGGCACAAGTGGCAGATACGTTGCCCTGTACTTCTCAATCGCAGACAACATCTCATGAATTTCGAATTTGGACAACACGATGATCGTGGATCCTGAAGACAGCAGCCCCGTCGCGAAGGCCACGAGTCCATAGATATGAAACATCGGAACCGTACAGATAAAAGTCCCTTCCCCTTCGCTTAATCTGAACCTCGTCACAACCACCTGAACCATCGCAATTAAATTTTTATGAGACGACACTACGCCCTTGCTCGCCCCTGTCGTTCCAGACGAATAAAGCAGAGTTGCTGTGTCGTTTTGCTCAACCCGTTCTTTGATTCTACTCTCACTGGGTTTTTTCCTCATCATTTCGTTCAACGTGGACACGATTTTGACCGAGGGGGTTTGAATTTGGCCGTCAATAAGGACGATTGGCAATGTGGAGCTGGCGATTTTGGGGAGTAATTGTTGGGTTGTGAAAGCTAAAATGGGTTTTGAATCGGCGATCTGCTTGGCGATTTCTTGGGGAGTATTGAGGGGATTTGTGGTGGTGATGATGGCGCCGATGGACATGACGGCGAGGCAAATGATGGGGAAGAAAATGGAGTTAGGGGAGAGGAGGAGGATGACGTGGCCTTTCCGGATTCCCATGTCGGAGAGAGCAGAGGCGACGGAATCGAGGGATTCCCAGAGGTGGGAATAGGTGATGTGTTGGCCGGTGGTGGCGTCGATGAGGGCGATTTTTCCGTTGTGAGGGCGGGAAGAGATGAAGGTCGTCGCATCGAGTGATTGGTTCGGGGGGAGAGGGATTGGGTGGCGCTTGCTGTGGAAGATTTTGGTGGATTTGCAGAACCCGCTTCTTGGATCTATTTCGCCGCCGTGTTCCGCCATCTGGTTGCCGGAGAAAAGGGAATTTTGTAAGAATGAGAGTGAAATGTGGTGAGCTTTGAAATTGATTTTGGTAGTGGGGGATTCGGAGTTCGCTTGTATAGAAGCCGTGGAGCCGCCGTCGTTGACGGGCCAAACTTTTTCTGAAAAGAATAATAATAATAATACTAATATGTTCTAACTTGTTTCCTTTTAAATTGAAATAATAATTTAATTTCGTTCAGTATCCCGACAAAAAAAAAGTTCCCAAAAATCAGGAAATAATAAAGTTTGTTCGTTTTTTGGGTTTTTCTCTTTTCAGGTTATCCATATTTGTGATTCGAATATGACTGGAAATCCCATGGTGGAGTATGGGCCGTTACTATATGGGCCGAAGGAAAAAGCCCATCCACTGATAATGGCCCAGTTTCGGAGCCCATTTTATCAGCTTTCGGGTCAAACTAAGATGCCACGAGGGATATTTCGTAAAAAGAAGTAATTGGATTTCGAAGCATACACGTGGATGAGACGCTAACGCTTCTTGAATCTATGGCGCGGATTCGAAGATGAAATCCCGACCCATTTCCCTTCACATTATCAAACAAGAAGAAAGTGGATGCAATTTCTCCGTTACTCTCTTATAAACTCTCTTTTCAGCAGATTGAATTGAAGAAATCCTCCGAGATTTTGTACGAATTATGGCTTCCTCCGCCACTAATCTCCTTCTATCTTCATCCTTCTTCGGAACGAGTACCTTAATTTCTCCTCCGACCCCGAAAACCACCAGATCGACGACACATTTGCCTTTCATTTCGAAGAGAAAGGTTGTTGTTACGCGAAGCATTCTTAGCGAGAAGCCCAATTCTGAACACTTGAAATCCATTTCATCGCAAGCTACTTTGGCTGCCCTAATCTTCTCTTCGATTGCGCCACAAGCTTTGGCGGTGGATGACGCTAGCCCTCCGCCTCCTCCTCCGGTGATTGAAGCTCAAGCGGTGAGTCCCAGTACTTCAACTTCCTCGCCCTTCTCTCAGAATGTTCTTCTTACTGCTCCGAAACCTCAATCTCAATCGGTTTCGGACCTTCCCGAAGGTAGTCAATGGCGGTACAGTGAATTCTTGAATGCGGTGAAGAAGGGGAAGGTGGAACGAGTTAGGTTTAGTAAAGACGGCTCTGTGCTTCAGCTCACTGCCATCGATGGCCGTCGTGCCTCTGTGATTGTCCCCAATGACCCTGATCTTATCGACATTCTTGCTATGAATGGTGTTGATATTTCTGTTTCTGAAGGCGATACGGGAAATGGGTTGTTCAGTTTCATTGGTAATTTGTTGTTTCCGATTTTGGCTTTTGCTGGATTGTTCTTTCTCTTCCGCCGTGCTCAGGGCGGCCCTGGCGGTCCCGGTGGACTAGGTGGGCCCATGGATTTTGGAAGATCGAAATCCAAGTTCCAAGAAGTGCCTGAAACTGGAGTGACTTTTGCTGATGTTGCTGGAGCTGATCAAGC